TCAATCTCAATTCATGGTACTGAAGACGAGATTATGACGGTAGACCGTCGATCCACAAGGATACGCAAACTCGTAGCGGAGCCATCTTCTTTGTCGCGCCGTAGATGATCATCATTAGGCAAGCGATCCTTCAGAACTTCTACGAGTTTCGCGTATATTTTGTAAATATTCTGCTACAGGTTTCACTGTACCGAACCCTTTGACTCAAGCACTAAATATCATCATCGAATTATTGAATGAATCAACCGCACCAAAAACAAGATCGTTTCTGATCATTGCCCTTTTGAGATCAAGTACCCATCTCCTGTTAAACAGTTAGTATTGATAACGAATTATTGTAACCATTCACACCGCTTGCTTTTAAGATACTACCGTAACGTGCGCGCTCGTTCAAGCTTCAAGGAAATTAGAATTCTCTGCGGACGAACGTAGAAATCTCGTCTGATCGTACATTTTGTGCTTATTTATCGGGTTTCCGATCCGTCCTCTAGATCCGACTGGCGGGACGGTTCGCGTGAAATATTGTGATTCGACTTTAGCGTCAAATAACGTAATGATTATTATAATGTACTCAGTTTAAGAATATGCATATGTATTCATTTACACGCGTACACGTATACGCGATATGCACATACACACGGATATACACATACATGCATAAATAGCATACCAGAGAAAGGAAAATACAATTCGTAAAACGTAGTTCGCTTCGACTCTAAAGCATAAGGTAAAATTAAGCTCTATCAATTACGCGCTACGTTGATATAACTTTTAAGAATATACATATACATATATCTATTATAATGATACGATTTTTAGTCAGCAAACTTGGAGTCTACGGAAATATATACTTTTCAAAGATTACAATGTATCGAGACAACATTTAGGCGAAGTTAATGCGAGAATACCATGCAGCGATTAGAGTTTCCTAGGTAATGGCGTGGATGGGTATGGATAAACGGATGCGAGTCTCTCATTTTTTCAATTTTCAATATTTTATAAAGTGTCCGGTATGTAACAAAAGTGGATATATATATATACATACATATATATATACACTTTATATATTATTAATATCATTGAATTTTTGGCAATATACTACCCACACTATTTTATTAGCGGCTTAGCCTACCTTGTAACCTTTATATTATACATTTCATATTATAGCTTATAACGGATAATTAATGATCCATTACGATTGTATTTGAAACTTAATTATATTCTAACTCTTTGAATTCATTTTAATAAACTCTTAATACACTGTACAATCCAGTTGTTTAATGTTCCTGTACTAATGTAGGGGAGGAAAGGGTTTGAAGGAAGAGAAGGGAGAAAATAAAATAAATTATCAGTCATTATTTTTTTTGTTTTTTCATTTTATACAAACAATACTCAGAATTCTATGAGAAAGATAAATCATTATAACACTCTAATGTAAAATACTTTTAAAGATAGTATGTTTTTAAATATTTACAGTCTGTAAATATAGTACATGATAAAAACTGAGTTCATTTGTAAGAATTCTTGGCTCTCCAATCGAGAAATTCGTCAAAGTCAGCCTCATCTCCACTGGAAACATCCTCGTCTGTATTCTTCTGCTTCCTGTCAGTAGCTTGTACTTGTTCCTTACGTTTTACAAGATCCATTACCCTATAAACATTATGAATTGTTTGTTATTAATATCGATCAATGTTATGTTAAACTTGAGTTCATTGTTAATTACCTAGACCAATGCCGTATTTGTTCTTCTATCTCATCTAATTGTCTTTCTGTAGTTGCTTCCTCCTGATCATCTGCAATGATCTGTGCTGACTGTGCTGTCTCTTCTTTAATTTCTTTTTGAAACTTTTCCCATTCTTCTTCTATTGGATTTTTATATTCAACATTGCGGACCTAAAACCCCAATCCCATATAAAGTAAGTATACACATATATGTTTTACATCAACTTATCATTTATCGTTACATATTTTACAATATGCTTACTTTGGCATCTAAAACTGGATCATCAAAGAATCCTTCTGGTAAAACAGTTTGATTTGTATCTTTGTTTCTATCTATCTCCTTTTCTTCTTCTATTTCCACATTTTTTATATCTGTATCATTCACAAAGTCTTTATTGTTCTCTAACTTACATGTTGTCACAGATGCATTCTGAGACATAAAACCATTCGTTTGTTTATAATTATCGAAGAAGTCTAATGGTAAACTTGATGTCACTTGTGTCGACTGAGGCAAAGGATTCTTCAATATCCCTTTTACTTTTTTATTTGTTGAAGATTCTTCGGAAGGAGATGTAGGCCTTTTAAATGTATGTGTTGGAGACTTCGAGGTTGTTGTTTCTAATTTGGTTTTTTTTGCTAATTCTATATTTTCTTTATGAGTTTTTGAATTTAAGTGAACTGGCCAGGCTGTTTCATTTCGTACAACAGTTTTACATAAAATACACATTAGCTGTCCTGCATCTGTATATGTGTTTACCATGGTTAAGGATCTATTACATTACATGTATAATTGAAATTTACATTTAATACACTTCCATATTTTAGATATATAGAATACTTTTTAATTATTAATCTAAGGAGCAGAAAAATGTATGAAATATTTAGCAGCAACTATTAAATATGTTTTGAAACTTTCCAATCTGACATAAAGAAAGATATAAATCTTAACCTAAAAGAATACTATACTTTAATAAAAAGGATATTTTGCTAACGGTGATTCAATTTTTTTAACAACACCTAATTTCTTTTTATGTTCACTCATTGCTTTACGCAAATCATCTTGCGTTAATTTTCGTTTAAGTGACATTTCAGGTCTTAAATTGTATTCTCAAATCACAAATGCACTTAGGTTATGTTTTGAATGAACTGTTCAATTCAATGTTAGTATCCTCTATCTTCAAACTTTAGAACTAACGTCATTATAACACAATCTTAAGATGTACAGACTGTGCAACAAAATATTTTTCTGTGTACTGTTCTGAAATACCGACACTGTAAAAAAAATACCCCCATACATTAGCGAACTCTACCTGAATCGAATGATCAACTACTAAACTATATAAGACTGCAACATGAAAAGTGTCTGCTTGGGAAGCTAATTTTTACAGTGTTGTCGGCGCTAAAAATTAAGTTGTATCGAGTCTGGAGAGTCAGGTTTGTACAGAATTCATCAAGACTGGTAACGAAAACGTGCAAGCGATTCGCTTCCTCAATCAGCATGCCTCTTAAGGTCGTAAAAATTCAAAAACTAGATGGTAACAAAAATCAAAATATGAGTGAGTCATTCATTATTCCATTAACACGTTGAGCGCGGCGTTGGTTCCTGGACACAGGCAGTAAACTTTTCGTTCACGCTGAGCCGGTCTGCATCCCATTATCTTCTGTTTATTATTTGTACACTTGTGCATTTGTTGCATCATTCTCACAGTCGAAACGGAAGGTGAAAAGGTGAAACAAAACCATGCCCACATCATGCGTGTTATCTTCTGTTTACTTACATTCTCTATCCCAAATACCCGTTGAGCGCTCACTGCCAAGTGCTCGCTGCCTCCAGAACGAAAAGGATAGCAAACTCGGCGCCGGACTTAACATGTTAAACACTTATGTATATATATACTTATTCACTTATTTATAAATAAACATTACTTGGTTTTACATTAACATAATACATAGATATTCAATGAAAGAAGTTAAAAATTGGTAAATATGAAGCAATCTTCGTTTGTTTAGTTCGTTTCATCTAACTCTACATTTTTCCGTAAAAAATTCTTTTATAGTGATATAATTAATCTATTAGGCGTAATAAACAAAAGAAAAAATAAACGAAATAGAAAACAATGTGTTGGAAAGGGAAAAGTGGGAAATTTTTCAATTCTCTTGGCTAAGTATTAAGATGACGGATATACTCGTCAAACATAAGTTAACTGGTTAACACTAAACATACCGCGACCTTTTTGTGTTTTCTTTTGTACATTTAACTTTATATTAGTTCCTATAATGTCCAATCAATCAGTTTTTCAATTTTTATATTTTTTTTGGTTTTTATTCCTAGTAAGAAAAATGTATCAACTAATTTGTTTACCTTTTTTTTGTAATCAGTTATTTGACTGGTTAAGGTAGGAATAGGTATACACAAAGTACCGTTACGTTTAGTGTTAAATCAGACAATTGAGGTTCCATTGTATAATATTCGAGCATCGATCGCGCCCCTCACCTGTTTCTTGCGCAGCATCCCCGTCGACCTTGGTCGTCGGCACCGACGAAAACTTCCTCATCGGCCTCTACCCGGGCGACGTGATTTTAACGTCTACGCATTGCGTGTCCGTCGCCGACGACGTCGATGGCTTTCTTTCCGGGTTCATACGGTGTAACGGGAACGAGTTCTTGACAAATGTCAACCACCTGGCAACCGTGTACTTCGTCATCTCGCTTCTGCTGATCCTGACGGGTAGTGATGTGCGTCGTAGCGGAACCTTGAGGTGTTCATTTGCGGTAGCCACCTAAAGGTATTCTTTACTGAGAAAGTTGTCATTTCCGATGCGATTCGCGTGTCTAACGCCAAAAACGGTCAGTATATAGAATAAATAATATATGTATATGCATTATATATGCACGTATATAATACGATTTCATTTTTTTTTTGGGTCTTATATTTATACCGAACAAGAGGAGAGCTCTCACCTATACAATATTTGTTTCATATTATTCTTTTTTTTCTAGTTTCTCTATTCCACAGTACGACCGACATTGACTATACATACATGCGGTGCGATATATCGAATTCGCTTTGTAGGACAAACATAGTTAAACGTGTTTACACAGCCCACTTTTCTGTTATGTGTCTTTTTATTGTTTCGTTTATTAAGCGGGTTTGCAACGAGGTTAGTGCAACGTTATAAGTGCAGTGGTGCTCGGTTAAATTTTAAAATTTCAGGACCTAGTGTTAGAATTCTCGCGAATAGGGTAGCATTCATTTTCCACGGATTGGCATGAACGCAACTTAACAAAGTCGGAAAATGGATACAATGAGAAGAAGCAAGATAAATACAGTATGCCCAGCATTGACGGTCGAGACCCGACATTTTAAAGGGATAATACATACTTCACATATAAACATGCAATAAAGAAAATATCAATTTCATTAATTTCAATTTTACTTTCTCAAACGCAATACTAGCAAATTGTCGAGATTGTTATAATTAAAATAAGTCCAAACACGATGTAAATCGGACTAGTTTTACCGACTAAATGTAATTAACAAAATTAAAGGTTCATTTTCCTTAAATCGATCAAATTAAACCGATTTACGTCGTGTGTGGACTCATATTAATAAGAAAAATTTCAATAAGCCATTGGTATTATATTTGAAAAGGTAAGACTGAAATTATTGAAACTAAAATTTTCATCATTGCACAATTGCTGTTTTTGTTGCGGCACCTTATTGAGTGTGCTGTTTCCCTTTCGTCCATTGTATTCATTTGTTTTCCTTGTCTACTAAGATCAGGTTACACTGCAGCGTGGTTCGGGACAGTGAGTGGTAGGGGAACAGTGGGGATGGTTCGTTAAAATTTAACTGAGCATCACTGCAAGCATTCCTGCAACGACCGTTGTGCGAGCAGAATCTCGCAGCATTATCGAGCGAGAGTTTCTTACACACTATTTAAAACGTTGTGTTTGAAAAAACCGAATATAGTTTTATATTATATAGTTGACCAGTGTGCAATTGTGTTTGTGATTTTTTACCGTGTGTGTGAACTTAACTGTAAATTTGCGTGAACGTTGTACATATTAGCGATTAAGTGATTATATATAATCAATTTAATTATACGCAATGGAAACTGTAAATAGAAAAAAATATAACCATTTGACAATATCACAGCGGCTGGAAATATTAGAAAAAGTAGAAGAAGGTGTACCTGTGAAGCATTTAGCAAATGAATTTGGGGTTACAGCTCAAACAATTTATTATATAAAAAGACACGCAGTTAAATTTCGGCAACAGCTTGAAAGAAAACATCCACTAAGAGTGAATCAAATGAAAATAAAGGATAGTACACTGCATGAACTAGACGATAAGTTGTATCTATGGTTTATCGAACAGAAAGCACTCGGAAATATCATAAATGATAAAATTTTGCAAGAAAAAGCGTCGGAGTTACAGCGTTCAACGTTCGGTGGCCCATCGACCTTTGAATGCAGCCGAGGATGGATATGGCGCTTTAAAAAACGTCATGGGATTTATTTTGTTCAAGTTGCCAATGAAAGCGTAGATCCAAAATTAGAGGAAGCAGAAAATTTTGTAATAACATTTGCGAAATATTTAAAAGAAAATGATATAACCCTTAACAATTTGTACAATATGGATGAAACAAGGTTAATGTGGAAAAGTCTTCCAAGAAAAACATTGGCATCCTGTACCATAGAGAAAGTAAGTGATGGTAAACTGAAGAAAGATCGTGTGACGGTAGGATTTTGTGCAAATGCAACGGGCACGCACAAACTTCCTCCATTATTTATACACAAATTTTTACGACCAAGAGCATTAAAACACGAGGGAACCCTATCCGTAGTGTACAAGATGCAACGAAGTGCAGGGATCGACAAGAGCACCTTTGAAGACTGGTACGAAAATTATTTTAAACCACAGGTGCAACAGCGTCGATTGGAGAATGGTGATGTAGGCGGAAAGGTGATTTTATTGCTCGAAAATTGTAGCAGTCATATTTTACCAGCAGAGAATTTAAAAGACGGCAATTTTGAAATAATGTACTTACCTCCAAATATTGCACCCATCTTACAACCAATGGATCAAGGTATAATAGCGAAAATTAAATTACGTTTCCGACACAGTTTAATTAAGAAAGTTCTACAATGTTCTGGAGAAATAAATAAATTTTACAAAGATTATAACATAAAAGATTGTATAGCTACTTTAGATACATGCTGGCAGGAAGTCACAGCGCAGAACGTTCGAAATTCATGGAGAAAAATTCTTAAAGGATTAAAAGGAAAGACAATGGAAGAGGAAGAAGAAGAAGGAGAAGAAACAAATGATTCGGAAACTCCTTCAATTGTACAAATGTTAAAAGATTATACCAGCTCAACAGTTAATGCAAAAGAAATCGAAGAGTGGATGGAATCTTGTGATGAGGAAGAAAGGAGACCATTGAACATAGATCCAGATGAAAGGGAAGATGAAGACGCAGAGGAAAACGAAGATGGAGACGAAAAAGAAACCGAACAGAAAGACGAAGAGAAAAAAGAAATAACAATAGAGAAAGCTCTTAGCTTAATTGTTGATTGGTCAAAAAAATTCGACCTCTCCGTGCAAATGCGCGCACATATTTTGAAAGACTTTTATGAGCAAGGACAAAACTAAGTGAATAGAATAATTATTAATAATTAGTGCGGAGATTTAGTGCAATGAAAATGAAATTAGTGATTATTGAAGTTCATCATTGTGTAAAGTTTTAATTCGAAGCAATCGCCATATTTCATTACTTTAAGTCAGTAAAATTAGTCCGATTTACATCGTGTTTGAATTCATTTTAACCAGAAAAACTTCAACAACCCATCGGTATTACATTTGAGAAGGTTAAAATTATTGCAATTGAAATTTTCATCATTACATGTTTATATTTGACGCGTGCGGCATCGCTTTGAAGTCCTGCATCTCGACCCTCGATGCTCGAGAGACTGTTTATCTCGCTTCCGCCCACTACAACGATCCTCGCTTAAATTAAAAAAATGTCGGACTCCAGCATTAAAATTCTTGCGAGGAGGAAAGCTTTTTGCTCCCTAAATCGACTCGAGCACAGCTTGACAAAGGCAGAGAATCGATATAGTGAATAGAAGTGGGATAGATATAGTTCGTCAAACATCGAGAGTCGAGACGCATAACTTCAAAGTGATGCCGTATGTGTCAAATATGAACATGCAATGACGAAAATTTCAATTGCTGTACCTTTAACCAAACCTTCTCAAATGTAGTACCGATGGATTGCTGAAATTTTTCTGATCAAAATGAGTTCAAACACAATGTAAATCGGACTAATTTTACCGACTTAATGTAATTAACGAGATTAAAAGGTTCATTTCCCCCAAATCGATAAAATTAGTCCGATTTACGTCGTGTTTGGACTCATTTTAATGAGAAGATCTCCATTGCGTGTTATACTTGAAGCGTGCGGCGTCTCTTTGGCCTGTGTCCGTCTCTCTTCCTATCATTGTATTCACTTTCCGTCCCTGTCTACTGGGATCACGTTACACTGTGCTTGAAGTAATGGGCAAGAGTGGGGACGATTCCGTAAAATTTAACCGTGGAAATTCCTTAAAAATTTAAGGGAGTATCACTATATATTGATTCTCTGCCTTTGCCAGGCTGTGTTTGAGTCAATTTCGGGAGCAAAAGACAATCCTGCTCTCGAGAACTTTAATGCTTGGTCCTGAAATTTTTAAATTTAACTGAGCATCACTGTAATGAGAAGAAGCGAGATAGATACAGTATGCCGAGTATCGACGGTCGAGACCCGTCGCTTTAAAGGAATGCCGCGAACGTGAAATTGACTCAAGCACAGTCTGACAGAGGCAGAGAATCGATATAGTGAGCGGAAGCGGGATAGACACAGTCTGTCGAGCATCGAGGCTGGAGACGCGGGACTTCAAAGCGATGCCGCATGCGTCAACATGCTATAAAGAAAATATCAGTTTCATTAATTTCAATCTCACTTTCTCAGACGTAATACTAGTGATTTGTTGAGGTTGTTATAATTAAAATAAGTTCAAACACGATAAATATAATTGACAAAATTGAAGATTTATTTCTTTAAAATCGATAAAACTAGACCCTGACTAAATTGGCATATTGATATATTTATCTGTAGTGTCAAGATCAGATATAATGAACAGAGTAGCATACTTGACTCAATTTACATCAGCATACAACAAAGCTCATTGAATTGGGGCAAAAAAGATTTTGCGATACCTAAAACAAACAATTAACTTAGGTTTAACTTGTAAAAGAGGAAACTTTGAAATAAATGGGTACGCTGATGCAGATTGAGGATCTGATGCAACAAACAGAAAATCCTATATCGTATATGTTTTATCATGTGCAATGCCACGATTTCATGGAAATTTCAGAAACAAAAGACTGTAACGATGTCATCAGCAGAAGCTGAGTATATGTCAGTAGCGAAAACATCCGAAGAAGCTATACATATGAAGTACTTCCTTTTTTTATGTGCAATCGTGTTATGTGCAATGCCACGATTTCGTGGAAATTTCAGAAACAAAAGACTAACGATGTCATCAGCAGAAGTTAAGTATATGTCAGTAGCGACAACAACCGAAGAAGCTATACATATGAAGAACTTCCTTAAAGAACTTGGATTAAATGTAGATATTAAAATGTTTAATGATAATCAAAGTGCGAATTTACTCACGTGAGATGTAGTATTTCATGCGCGATCGAAACACATTGATCTCAGGTATCATTTTATAAGAGATGCAATAAAAAATAATGCATTTGAATTGAAATACATACTAACAGAGAAAATAGTAACAGATGTGTTAACTAAACCGTTGTGAAAGTTGAAGCATGTGTTCTCCTGTAAAGGGATAGGGTTAAAAGAAGTAGAATGAATTGTAATGCATTTAAAGGAAAATAAAGAAATTTTATTTTGTTTTCAGTTATCGATGCATAGTATGCATTGAGGGTTGGGGTGTTAAGAAATATTAATGCATCTGGTACGTGTGTGCGCGCGCGCGCGCGTGTGTATGTGCGTGTACGTGACTACGTGTTCAGAAGAAGAATAAACTAATAAAGCTTTTATAAATTAGTAAAACCACGTCCAACCTCACGTATTATAACCCATAAATTTTAACATATAAAATTACAATTATTTTGTAATCATCAATGTTTCACGTGTACCTACGCGCAACAAATTAAAAATGACTTTTATTAGACCAAGCTAGAAATCCTTATGGATATCATTGTATGCCAAACGGTTAAAAATGGCGCACGTTCAGTTTACGATCTTCCATAGACAATAAAATGAAACGATCACTTAAGCGAGGTGGAGTTTCGCGTAATCCGATATGTGTAAAATACCATGTTCAGTCGAGGCCACGTGCAAGCTGGCGCCGCAAGCTCGGGGATTAATTCTGGACGTATGTAGCTCAGCCACTTGGGTGCTGCACGCCGCGGCGGGGTCACCGCTCGTCGCAAGCGATCCTTTCCAGAATTCATTCCCTGCAGAAAGATTCGTTCAGAGATTACCAGTGGAAATCGCGGGATGCGAACCGAGCAACTGAAGCGTAATCGACAAACCTGGCAGCGCGTTACCGTCCCACGCGTACGTCACCACTAGAAGCTTGTCTGCGTCCGTCCCTCTGAACCGGATGTGCGGCTCTCTACGGGCGAAATGTATCTTTATATCTGCAACAAGATTACGGGTCATTTTGCGACCATCTCAGTTTCTCATCGAGACGGTACAATTGAAATCGTTAGTGAACCTCCGAGATAGCCGCCGTTCCCAACGTCGCCGCATTTCTGTTGGGTGAAATACGAGAACACTATGTCCGAGACGTATTTCAGCTTCTTGTTCATCTTCTTGATCGCGATCTCGAAGGTTTTTAAGAAGTATATCTCTTGGTCCTTCATTATGCTCCAGACACCTGAAAATTGAATTCCGGTCACTGGGCTGGTACGTGCCGTGCGTTTCATTAGAAAGTTCTGTTTCTCTAGAGTGTATTATGCTTTCGTTTAATACTCTTCTTGATGGTTGTAAATGTAATCTATTTAATTTATAGTTAGAAGTGGGTTAAAAGAACCATGCCATCTCAAAATTAAATGCATTTGGAGAAACATGTTCTGAGAAATTTTGTTGGTTAATATTAGAACCTCAGGTATTTTAATTTTATTGTAAAGTTAATTATTTTTTGTTAAATTACTGGCAACGAAAACTTTCGTTATTTGTTTAAAAAAAATTTCCATGTGTTTTTAGGTCTTTAAAAAATAAAATCAAATTCTGTTACAAACATAAATCTTCAAAATTTGATTAAAGATTAAAGTAGCAAATTAAAAAAAAAATTCGTTACTAACCAAGACCAAATCCTACAACATGTATAAAGGCAGTCGTGTTCTGTTTTTCGGCGCGTGTATTCGCTTCAAGTAGAATAATCTCCACGGTGACAAGGGTTCTTTTCATGTAGTTCTCGATATCGAAGATAGTCTGACTAGGCAACGAGAGATATCTCTTATTATCCTTTGCCTTCGCGCGGTTCACGGCTTCGTCGTAAAGCGGGTGATAATCTTCACCGTAAAATTTTGCCCATAACATACGCAATCCTCGTTGCTCCGCTGAACTACTCGAGTTGGAAGGTCCGTAACTACAAAGGTACCATAGAACTTGCATAACAAGTTATGCAACCAAATAAACATAAACAAATAATAATAAAATTTTTTTTTAATACATATGAGTGTTAATCTAATTACGTTTATATTATCTGGATCCTTTATATTATTGTAATAAATAAAATATTTTTAAATATGACTAATACAAATCGAAAAGAAACTTGCGATAGCAATGAACACACCATAACTTCTAACAATGTCTGGATGAAAGTAACGTACTAATATATAAATTTTTATATTTCATATTTTATGGCAAATTTTAAAATATAATCTATTAAATAGTAAAGCAAATTTAAAAATACAACCGGACAATAGCGACTTCCAATATTCTATTGAAAGCTATGACATTCGGTATCAGTGGTCGACACAACGTTCAACGAGTTAATAAACGTTATTACGGTGTATTCGTTGTTTAAATAACATATGTTCGTGAAACTCGGCTCACCCGTTATCCACAGTGTTTTGTGTAGGTGTAATAAGAATGTCTTGGTACTCCATGACGTGTTGTCGTTTAAATCTGCGAAGAATATGATGGAATGTGAGTTGAATATTCCCATGTGGCAAGGATACAATTTAATGGTTGGTAATTGATAATTCGGCAGAGTTGTTTTTTTTTGTAAACGGGAAGCGTTAAATAAACAAAGCGAAACCTTGATCCCACGACACCTATAATGACTCCTCGCGGCTGAATGGAGTCTGGATTGGTGCTCACGACACCTTTGTTCTTTCGTGAGCCGTCGTTTATGAACTCGGTATAAGAGGACATTGTCATCATCGCGGACAACTTGACCTCGTCGTAGGACAAGCATTTCGTTAGGACCTGTTGATAGCAAAAATCATTTCAGTTCATGATTAATCTTTCAGTTATTAAATTGAAATTAGCTTTTCTTTAAAATTAACACTCTAAGATTATTAAAATGTTCTGCAATATATTCAACTTATTGAGACTCGGAAATGCGGGAACGCAGTTTTAGACGTCCGTTCGCGAGGGCCGCAATTCAGCGACTCCTCGAGTCGAGGAAAAAGTCTTGGTCCTCGCGTTAAAACAGCAGGCCCCTTCCACTACATTTTCCGTTAGGGCTGCAACAATTTTACTCTTCTACGCAGGCCTCAATTTATGGCCTGTCCTTGCGCTGGAGTGTCAACGTAGGGGAGCGATCTTTGCCCGATCGACTACGCGCACTCTTTTGTTTCCCTTTTCTCCTTTTCCATAAAATGCCTACAGCACAGAACTTTATGGTTCTAGAATTTTTTTAAACTAAATAACTACTAAACTACTACATTTTTGTAAACTAGTAAAGCTAACAATACGAGTAACGGAAGTTTACCGGGCATTTTGAATTCCTTGTTTAAACTTTTGTGTCACACAACAAGCTGAGAGGAATGCAACAAGTTGATCGACTAACTCTCAAGTTGAAAAGCTAAAATGGCGCTGTAGAAGCCAAATAGTGCTGTAGAGGGGAACTGGCCCATAGGAGGCTCGATGCAGTTAGAGTCATGAAACCTAGGAGTCATAGCTTGTTTCAACGTGTGAGAGGGTCTGACTCTAATGCCAGACCTAGGAAGCGCCATTTGCATCCTCGCATGTTGCAGCCTGTATGGGCTCCTTTATACATGAGAACAAAGTACTAACCAAGGGTTCCTTCTCGTCATCGGTACCAATGGTTTCCCATCTATTGAAGCTAGTCTTTCCATCGATGAGTTTCCACCGATCTTTGGGCCCATAGAAATGCACCGCTCGCTTTTCCAGTAAACGGTGGATAAACTCTATCAATCCCATATCCTTGTACAACGCCTTTTCTATAACGCTTCCATACAATTGTTTGTGTTTCAGCCATCGTGCGAGCAACGGCAGCATCGCCTCGTGTATCAGCGGATAAACCGAATTCGCGTTCATCTGCGATAAATGTGAGAAAAAGTAAAAACGTATTGCAATATGAAATTTGTATTTATACACATTTTTAATATACAGAATATCGTGTAACTGACGGTACAACCGGACAGGGGTTGATACTATGTTAAAAAAATAAGTTGAAAATATCGAATACAATTTTTTCATATGAGGCTTTGTTTTCGAGAAAATCGACCTTTATGTTGATAATGATTACCAACGTCACGAAAATACTGCACTTATTAATTGAAAATACACAATGAAACAGGATGTTACAGTAACCATTAATATGGAAATTATTGTCCATTCTGTCGAATACCTAATTCTGCTGTTTTAATTAAGTTTTTATGAACGTTTCCTAACCCATTCTATTGTTTTAATGTATGAAACGCTATAATAAGTAGAGCATGTGCCTATTCCCCTTGTCCCTATGCACTTTTAGCTTGTGGGTAATGTTATAAGACTTGAAAGGCTTACTGTGGAATAGTAAGGATAGTAAGGATAGTAAGTAAGATAAACATTTTTATGATGCTGGAAGTCTCTATCAACACAAACTTCAATCGAGACAATGATTTACAGTGAAATCCAATAACGAGACTCGTATAAACAAATTTTATTCTATATTTTCGACTTGTTTTTTGACATAGAATCAGTCTTTATCCGGTTGTATCACCAGTTACATGACACCCTGTATATTTATTAAAATTAAAATAAAAATAGATACTTATATATTTCAGCATAAGACTAAAAAATTTATGTTATCTATGGCAAGAAAAAGGTCACAGGAGCAAGGGGAGTCAGTTGCACGCTTCACCTCGGTCCTTCCGGGAAACATAGCAGAGCTTCCGCATCTCCAGGATTTAATAAACTTAAAAAGCTACCGTTGCATAGAAACGAAATTAGACGTCAATGTTTGTTACATCTCACGCGGTCGCATTTTGTTCCATCTGCTTTCATCACACGGCTCGGCCAATAACATCAACTGTTGTTCTAGCAGGGGTGGCCA